AATGGCAGTATGTACGTGTATATGTACAAGTCCTTAAGTGTTAAGTTTTTCAAATGTACAATAAAGAATAAATATTTTTAAGTACAGTACTTACGTACATTAATATAATACCTACTTTTTACTTGTATCTATTGTCATCAAAATTAAATTATAAGTTCTTAACTTGACCACGACTATGTGACCCTCTCTTGGCGCCAAAACGAGTGAAAAAATGAACAGCATACGACGACGACGCATACCTATAGAGTGGAGCAACTGCTTATTCAGTTTTATTCAACTATTTAGTCCCTCCACCGTTACAATGAATGGAGGCGGATATTACAATGTATGTAGCATTGCGAATATAAAATATCTAGATTAGGTATAATAAATTCATAATTGATAGACCGTTACGGTATCAGAGCCAAAAAGTCTTCTTTCTTTATTTATGTACTGTTAGATGCGACATCGACTTTGTTTTATACTACACTATGTAATGATTGATATACCTATGTAAAATAAATAAAATATCTGAGGTTTGGACAAAAATTCAAAAGGTACTTTATTTTGAAAAAGTATTTTGAAAATACCTATTTTGCATTTAGTATTTGAAATACAAAACTATTTTTGTTTTTAGAGTGACATTTCTATGAATTCACTGTCGATAGCGAGCGGTGCGATGGAAAAAGATAACCGTTTATAAAAATATAATAAATAGCGCTGGACAATTAACACAGACTGATACTGAACTGATATAAATAGATATTTTTATCTTGTAAATACATATATAATATACATATAAAACACCCAGACCGATGAAATCAATCGATGACCGATGAGTACATATGTTTGCACCGTGCGAGAAATCGAACCCGCGACCATCGGATGTAAAGCGGTGTGACCACCGAGGCAGTCGAAATACATAAATAATCTTATGAATTTAATTTATTCTAATTTGTTTGTGTGCGCGGGGTGCGGTGTACGGTGCTCCCCCTGCCTCCACCGTTGCTGGAGCTTGCATGTATGGAGCATTGCGAATATAAAATATCTAGATTAGTAAATTAATAAATTCATAATTGATAGACCGTTACGGTATCTATATATATTCGGATTAAAATAAGTATCGCAGTAAGGACCAGTATATAATGTGATCAATACAATTAATTGATTTTTGAAATATATATACGGAGCCAAAAAGTCTTTGTGTATTCAAAAAATATCTAATTTGTTTGTGTGCGCGGGGTGCGGTGTACGGTGCTCCCCCTGCAACGGTGGAGTTACTATGTATGGAGCATTGCGAATATAAAATATCTACATTAGTAAATTAATAAATTCATAATTGATAGACCGTTACGGTATCTATATATATTCGGATGAAAATAAGTATCGCAGTAAGGACGAGTATATAAAGTGATCAACATAATTAATTGATTTTTGAAATATATTCAGAGCCAAAAAGTCTTTGTGTATACCAAAAATTTAGCCGTTCGGAGCCAGTCATGCACGAATTATTAGTAAAAAATGTGTCGAGTATATCGTACTATCGACGAATATATATGGCCACATCGCAAAATAGAATGCGACGTTGCCATACCGCCTGAGATATACGCGATAGGAGTCAAGTTATTCAGTGCAAAAGGTGGAATCGGCAAGTGTTTAGGTTGTGGCGTGATCAACAAAGTGCCCAAAGAGGTGTTTATATATATATATATATATATAAATAAATATACATACATATATTCAATATATTGGAAAATTTCAGAGTTAAATAGGAAAAAAAATAAAAAAAAATATTTGCTATAGGGACAGATAATGAGACCTTAGACGATTTTTAAATATTGTATGAGATTGAGCGGATCGAATGGAGAGTGGTAGAGAGTTCCAAAGGCGAATGGCTAGGACAGTGAAAGAGTTGGAATAATATGTAGAGGAGTGAGCAGGGATCGTCAGACAAAGGCTTCTGGTGCTACGCAAAGCAGAACCGGGGGATTTAGAGTGAAATAAAAAATTTGTTTTTAGATATTCTGGAGTAGAGGGATGGAAAAGAATGGTGTAAAGAAGGCATAGTATGTGAAAATTCCTGCGAAGACGAATGGGAAGCCACTTGAGTTGATTGCGAAAATTGGAAATGTGGTCATACTTACGGAGACCAAATATGAATCGTATGGACATATTTTGGAGTCGCTCAAGTTTATTTAATTGTTCTTCAGTGAGATTTACATAGCAGGAATCCGCATAATCTAGGATTGGAAGTAACAAGGAATTTGCGAGCGTAGTTTTGGTATCCACTGGTAGGAAGTTCCGCAACCTATTAATGCTTCCGACGGCTGCAAACATTTTCCGACTCAACTGTGAAATTTGTGGTGACCAAGACAAATTTTCATCAAAAAGAATTCCAAGATTTTTGACCTGAACGGAATATTTAATGTCATGGCCATCAAAGGTAACTGGTGGTAGATGATTGAAGTCTAATCTAGAAGTAAAATACGAACTTCCAATAATTATACACTGTGTTTTTTTAGGATTTAATATAAGGCCACAAGCTTTGCTCCAGTCAGATATATAGGCGAGATCCAGATTTATATCGTGAATAGCATCGCTAATATTAGGCAGATCAGCTTGTGAATAAATTTGAAGGTCATCTGCATAGAGGTGGTAGGATGAACGAAGATGAAGTGTGATAGAATTGATAAATAAAGTGAAGAGAAGAGGAGATAATACGCCACCCTGAGGTACGCCCGCAGTCGTTGTACACCAGGATGAACTAATATCATCAATACGAATACGCTGCCGGCGCCCATACAGGTAAGTACGAAACCATTCAATCACCGTTGGAGATATGTTAAGAGTACGTAGCAAACTGAGTAAGATGTCAAAGTCTACGGTATTGAACGCATTACTGAAATCCAATAATGTTAGCACTGTCAGCTGCGATTTGTCCATACCAAGTCGAATGTCATCGGTAATCTTGATCAGAGCTGTAGTCGTGCTATGACCAGGACGGAAACCAGATTGAAGAGGATTTAGAAGATTATTTGTAGAAAGGAAATTGTATATTTGTTTATGGACAAGCCGTTCTAAAACTTTGGAGAGGAATGGAAGAATGGAAATGGGTCGATAGTCTGAAAAATTCAGCGGGTTTTTGGTTTTGGAGAGAGGAATTATAAGCGCGTCTTTCCAAGAGGTCGGGAAGATGGCAGATGATATAGAAAAATTTAAGATAAAAGTAATGGTTGGAAGAATGATATCAAGGATAGGAATTATCATATCACGACTGACATTATCATTACCGATGGCATTCGACGATACAGCAAATATGTTTCTCTTAATATCACAATCGGAAAATTGAGTAAAAGAAAAGGAAGAAATATCAGGAGTTGACAAAGTGGAAAGAACATTTAGTGTGCTTAATTTATCATTGTTGTCAAAGTCAACGGAAGAACAGAAGTGCCTGTTAAGGCTTTCGAAGTCTAAATCGCAGTTTGTCAAATTTTGAGCTTTCCCAACTCCCAATGTTCTGAGAAATTTCCAGACTTTGGCTGGATCACCATTCTCTACTGATTTGTGAATGTGGCGACGTTGAGCATGCCTACAAGCCCTATTGCAGAGATTCCTTGCTTGAATGTAATATTCACGATATTTCTCAGGATTGGATCTGAACTTCGCTTTGGCCTTATTTTTTTTAACCTGCAGAGCCCTGATCTCATCTGTCAACCACGGAGCAGGGAGATGTTTAACCCGTACTGGACGAACAGGAGCATGTCGGTCGTAGAGTTCCAATAAAAGCGAGTTAAATAATCTAATTTGGTCATCCACTGATGTTGCATTGTGAATAGCCACCCAGTCCGCAGCAGACGCATCGTTACGCAATCTTACCTGATCAATGCCACAAAAACTACGCCGCATTAAGACTTTATGTTTAGGTTTAGGAGGACGGATTTTGTAAGAAAGAAAAATGAGATTGTGGTAGGAGAACGCATCTGCAGGACTCTGACCATGCCTAGCAACATGATTAAGGGAGGAGACAAACAGAAGATCTAATAGGGAAGGATTACAGTTTGGGAAGAAGTGAGTCGGCTGTAGAGGTAGAATATTCAGCTTACAGGAATCAGCAAGAGATCTAAGGCGGTTAGCACGGTAGTCAGTTTTGAGTAAACATGTGTTGAAATCGCCCATAATAATAGTATGATGAAAGGAGGGGATAAGATTTTCGAGGGTGTTTTCAAGGAAAGAGAAATAATCAATGGAAGATGAGGGACTATAAAAAACACCTAAAAGAGTTTTAGAGTGCAAGAAATCAACATTAATAAAAAGAAATTCTGGTTCTAGAGAAGGGTTGGATATATCAGAGGAGAGGATAATTTTATAAGAAATATAGTCACGAAGATAAATGGCAACTCCACCACCACCCCCTTGACACGATCATTACGAATCAGGTTAAAACCGGGCAAGGAATAGGAGACAGATGGAAGACAAGGTTTTAACCATGATTCTGAAATTAAGATAGCATGTAAATTTTCGACATTAAAAGATGTTAGAAAATCAGGAAAATGGGCCGGAATGCTTTGAGCATTAATATGCACCACATTAAAATTTTTTACAGTATTCTCAAAGTTAATATTTAAAGTCTCATTAAGGGGAATAAAATCATTATACGTAGAATTATAACTAGATGTCGAACTCGAAAATGAAGAGTAATGTTCTTCCAACATATATTTATATACTAATTATTAAAAATAATAAACAAATAACTAAATAAATATAACTTTTAAAATATTTAAATTAATTAACAATTTTTAAAATATTATCTACCTGCACATAAAGATCTCTATATTTTTACATATTAAATTTTTTCAACCTTTAATATGCATAAACAAAAACAAAAAAACAATGAACGTGCAACGGAACGTCTCTAAAGTGATTATTTTACGTACTGACAACACTAATGAACACAGACAACGACATTTAAACTTGACATGATAAACAATAACACTACACTTGACATTTAGTTGACAGTTTTGATTAGACATAAGGATTTTAATATTTTACTTATTGACATGTTTACATATAAAAGAAAACAAAATTAATTCGTAGGTAGCGTAATAATTATGAGTTTCTGAGGTAAAACCAAATTGAAAAAGTATATACTACAGTGAATCAGTAATAAAGAATACTCGACATACAATAATAACAAACAATTCTACTTTCTATGGCGTTTTGATCGAATCGTAGTGACGGCAGGGTCTTTGGCAATGACTGGGGTCGATGCAGATTGGACTGTTGAGGCCGGCAATGAGCTAATCAGCTTGCTCAGCTCACCAGAACAACTTATGCGATGCCTTGTACCATCCCCATCAGCGACGACGATGAAACCGTCATGCGACCAACAGTTTTTGATGCCAAAGTGTTGTCGAGCTGCCATGAATACACTGTGTCTGGCCGCAGTCAGAAATTCTGACATGGTGAACCCGCTGCCCTTAAGTTTAGTTTTGGCATACCATACCTCATTCCTGATGTCTAAGTCACGGAACTTCACAACTATCGGGCGAGGCTTGTCTTTCAATGTACGACCAAGACGGTGACACCGAGAGATATGTCCTGTAGTGAAGTCTCCAATATCCAGCCTGTCTATGACAACCTTCGCTACCACCTGGGCTACAGATTCCCGTTGTGACTCTGGCACTCCATGCAGCAACAACATTTTGCGTCTACTACGCATCTCCATCTGTTCTTGTTGGCGGGCAATTATTTCCACTTGCTTCTGAAGACTAGTGAGTGCAGTTGTTATAAAGCTCCGGAAAGTGACAAAGTCAGATTCAAGCGAAGGCACTGTAGCTGGTGTGTTGTTTGCCTTCAGCTGGTTTTGGAACTCAGCCATAGTCTTATTAAAGTGCTCCATCATACCCGCCATTGTAGTGTGCAGTGTCTCCATTTGAAATGATTTGAAGTGAAGAATGAAAGGAAAATTATCACAGCAGGTAGATAATAGATTAGATTTACAAATTCATGTAAATAGTATTAAAACTTTTTCTTTTAAATAATTAATAAATAAATTTAAAACAGAGAGGTGTAATTTTACGTCTGTTGTGTTTCACAGCTACCCACAAAAAAAACAAAACAATCCCCTTCCCTCCTGGCGGTTAAGGTTGGCAACCCTGAGGTCAGGGGGGAAAAGGGGATTGTTAGTAATGTGGATTGATGATCTCATTGCTAGCAATGTACCATGTCAGTTTGACCTCCACGCGGTTCCCCCTGGAAACCATCGTGATAAATTCTTGGTGAATGTGTCACGATGGGCTAACTGACCTGACCTCATGCTCATCTTATCATCCTCCACTGGTGTCCCGCCAGCGTAAACCGTTAGCGCAGGCGAGTGCACCATTCCATTGTCATTGATAAAAAAAAAAAACCCTGAGGTCAATCAACCCATGCACGTGGGCGTCTATTGAAAGGAACGGGGAATTTCTGGTCCCTTGTTTTTGGTGGGTATTTTTTTTTAGTTGAGTAATATAATTATATAGGTTCCTAAGTAGATTTAGCCCACGGCCTCACGAATTAACGATCCACTGCCAAAAAGTCCCGTCAAAATCGGTCCAGCCATTTCAGAGATTAGTCGCAACAGACAGACAAAAATTGTAAAAAAAAATATTTTGGTGTACGTACCGTATTAATATTCATATGCATGTAGTAAAAAACGGTTATTTCAATATTACAAACAGACACTCCAATTTTATTTATATGTATAGATAAATAAAATCATATTAACTTTAAACTCAAAATAGTGCAACCTCAATATAACAAAGGAATATAAAAACATTCCTTATATGAAGTAAATTGTTACAATTAGATTGCGTTGATCTATCATTTTATTATTAGTCATTCACCACAACATTACATACTCATGTTTTTATAGCAAACAACTTCTATTCATAAAGGAAAACACATTTTTATTGTATTACTGTAGGTACGTGTTAAAAAATATGGTATAAAAACAAATATGATCGAGCGCAGTTGTCAGTACTGGCACGGTACACTCGACGGAAAGTTATGTGTCAACGATATTGCTTTGTTTCCTGTCTTCTATTATTCCTATCAGATTGCTTTTGTAGACATATATCAAATAAAAATTGTATTCAACTTAGATGCTGTTTTACCCAAAAACCCTCACAAATTGGTAGCAGAGCGTGGTTAATAATAAAATGGCATCTGCGTCGAGTTTCCGCAATATAGAACCTTTAAACAAAGAAAATTACGATACTTGGAGCCTACAAGCGCAGGCCGTATTGATCAAAAATGATTACTGGGATATCGTAAGTGGCGCAAAAACATTGTCACCCAGTGCTGATGCAGCAGCAACGACGGAATTTAATAGAGAGGACTTAAAGGCAAGAGCTGAAATTCTACTTTTATTATCACCGTCGGAATTAAAACAAATCAAAGCCTGCATGACATCCAAAGCTGTTTGGGGCAAATTAAAATCAATATATCAGAGCGCCGGACCAGCAAGAAAAGCGACCTTGCTGAAACAACTGGTTCTAAAGCGTATGAATGTTGGAGAAGATATTCGCGATCACATAAATAACTTCATGGACATCGTGGATAAACTCGCTGACATGGAGATCAAAATACCTCCAGAGTTACTCAGCATTATGTTACTGTATAGTCTACCAGCAACATTTGATAACTTCAGAATAGCCATAGAGTCACGGGATTCATTACCAAACCCCGAAGACCTGAAGGTAAAAATATTGGAAGAATATCAGGCCAGGAGCGGTAATGAACAAGGCCAAAGCTCTGAAGCATATCATCTTAAAAATAAGAAACAAAAATACTGCAAGAATTGCAAGAAAAAGGGCCACACCACCGAAGCATGTTGGGGAAAGAAGAAAGGTGGCAAAGAGAGAGACAACGGCAAACAACACAAAAAATTCAATGTTTGCCTTAGCACCGTAGAACAAGACACTAGTGAAAATACATGGTGCCTGGACAGCGGCTGTTCATCTCATATTTGCAACAATAAATCATTTTTTTCTAAATTGACCCCAGGCAGCGGCACATTAAGATTAGCGTCAAGTAAGCACAGCAGTGGAATTCAAGGTAAAGGAATAGTAACCGTAAATTCAAATAATCAAGGTTACAATTTGAATAATACATTGTATGTTCCGGATGTATCAATAAATCTATTGTCAGTAAGTAAGATAACTGACAGAGGAAATAAAGTCGTTTTTGAAAAAGACAAAGCCTACGTCATTGAGAAAAGTGGCGCGGTGGCAATTACAGCGCAAAGAAGAAATGAGCTGTATTACATCGAATTTGACAAGAATGAGACTGCGCATTACACACCAAAAATAAGCACAGACGTCATGGAATAGCATCGCAAACTCGGCCATATAAACGAAAAAGATTTAAATACCAAACGTTAGAAACATGTGAGACCTGCATAAAAGGAAAATTGACGAGACAACCATTCAATCGATATGACGAATTATATACAACGGAACCATTAGAAATAATTCATAGCGATGTTTGTGGACCATTCGAACACGAAACATTGGCAGGTTCGAAATATTATGTCACTTTTATAGACGACAATACTCGATACTGTCATGTCTATTTTATAAAAAGGAAAAGTGACGTATTACAAATTTTCAAACAATATAAAAGTGAAGTTGAAACATTTCATAATAAAAGGATAAAATATTTACAGTCAGACAACGGTACTGAATATCGCAACAAAGAGTTTGACGATTTCCTTAAATCGCATGGTATCCAAAGGAGGCTAACAACTGTTTATACTCCACAACAAAATGGAATTAGCGAGAGAAAAAATAGATCGTTATTGGACAAAGCCAGGTGCCTAATGATTGAATCAAAAGTACCTATGAAACTTTGGGCAGAGGCCATATCTACTGCAAATTACCTGATTAATCGTAGCCCCTCTGAATCATTAAAAGGTGATATAACATTTAGGAAATGGTTAGGTAAGACACCTTCTGGCACTCATCTCAACATCTTTGGCAGGATGACCTTCGTCTTAAAAAAGAATAGACGAGGAAAATTTACTCAAAATACCAAAGAGGGTGTGTTTGTAGGGTACTCCTTGACCAGCAAAGCCTATAGAGTATATATACCTAAAGATAATGATGTGGTAACTAGCAGAGATGTAAAAATAATAAATAAAATGTATTATGAAGAAAATGTTGAAAATTATAATAACCTTTTGAACGATGACAAACAAATTTCACAAACTCCTAGAACAGAATGTCAAATAAGAGACAACATGTATAAGAAAAATAATAATTTAAATACACAACAAATAGAAATTGAATTTACAGAGAATAAAAATTATTTACAAAGTTCAAATAATCCGGATCACACCGATTTAACAGAAAATGTAGATTCTCACGATGAAACAACAGGAACTGTAGAAAGACCTGTGAATGGGAGGCCACAAAGAGACCGCCGGCCACCGGAGTGGACCAAGGATTACACATTAAATGAAACGAATGAAAGTATACTATTCTCTGAATTTTCTTATTTGACTGATGGAAGTGAAACTGATGAATACTGGCATGATGCGATAAAAGCTGAAATTAGAGCACATGTTAAGAATGAAACCTGGAAAATAGAGGAAAAGAAAGAGAACATGAATGAAGTAGATTACAAAATGGTTTTAAGAAATAAAATTGGGCCAGATAATAAAATTAGTAGAAAAGCCAGACTTGTAGCACGGGGTTTCACTCAACGACCAGGCGTTGATTACAATGAAACGTATGCACCCGTCGCAAAATTAAGTTCAATCAGATCGGTTATCGGAATAGCTATGGAACAAGGTCTAAAGTTAAACCAAATGGACGTAACCACAGCCTACCTAAATGGTGAACTAGAAGAATATATTATAATGAAATATCCTGACTATTTAGAAGAGTACTTAACAGAAATACTGGTTGATGAGAGTGAAAAAGATGATCTGACTTTATACAATAAAACAATGAATATGTTAATGGACATAAAAAACATACCAAAAGGGAAAGTTTGTCGTCTTATTAAAGCTCTATATGGACTTAAGCAATTGGGGAGGCAATGGCATAAAAAACTCGACATGGAATTGAAAAATGTAGGGTTTAAATCATCAAATGCCGATCCCTGTCTATACATACAGGAGAAAAGAGGAGAAAAAATAATCATTGCTATTTATGTCGATGATTTATTAATCGCTTACTCAAGTCCCGTTATTCTAAAAGAAGTTAAAGACCTTTTAATTTTAAAATTCGAACTCAAAGATTTAGGTCAACCGAAACGACTGATTGGTATAGATATAACTTATGAAAATAATACAATAAAATTAAACCAAGAAAGATTCATTGAGGATGTTCTCAGAACATACAAAATGGAAGATTGTAAGCCTGCATCGACACCCATAGAGCCAGGCTTTATACTACAAAAGGCAGAAGAATATGAAAAGAAAAATATCCCATATAAAAATTTAATAGGTTCCCCCTTATGTACTTGGCAGTAGCTACTCGTCCCGATATCATGTTTGCCATTAGCTACTTATCCCAGTTTAATGATTGTTATGGAGAGGAGCATTTCAAGAGCGCAAAAAGAGTAATGCGTTATTTGAAAAAGACAAAAAACGTTGGCCTAACTTTTAGAAAAACTGGAGAAGATTTATATGGTATGGCGGACGCAGATTGGGGCGCATGTAAGATTGATAGAAAATCTTTTTCAGGTTACTGTTTCAAGTATGCTGGGACAGCCATAAGCTGGATGTCTAAGAAGCAGAGGAGTGTCGCTTTGTCTACAGCAGAGGCGGAATATACAGCCCTGACTGAAGCTGCGAAGGAAGCTATTCAACTAAAGGGTACATATAAAGATCTCGGTACAAACTATAATAACATAACAATTTTTAACGACAATCAAGCCGCCCTCAAACTTAGCCAAAATGCTATGGTGACTTCAAAGTCAAAGCACATTGATTTAAAGCTACATTTTATCAGAGACTTTATAGAAGACGGTACAATTGTAGTCAAATATCTACCTACTGATGAAATGGAAGCAGATATGTTAACAAAGGCTTTAGCTGGACCGCGACTGGAGACATTGAGAAGAAGTTTGGGGTTAACTTAACCACGACATACACCGTGAAGAGGAGTGTCAGTACTGGCACGGTACACTCGATGGAAAGTTATGTGTCAACGATATTGCTTTGTTTCCTGTCTTCTATTATTCCTATCAGATTGCTTTTGTAGACATATATCAAATAAAAATTATAGCAGTGATGGCTGGCTCATTTTTTTTGCCTAAATTCACGAACATACACAATTTTTTATGTCACACATATGTGACTGACATGGTGACCTATATTAAAACTTTTTTCTCAACAAGACGTGTCATTTTTTTTTTGTTCTGTTTATCCTTTATCGGAAAGGCAAACTGAACTGCGGCCATACAGCCATGTCTTCATGTAGATACAACAAGTATTAACTTATTGTTTTGGACACAGCGCCTTCTACCAAATGCGTATGTCAGACATATATGTATGTCTGACATGGCTCATATAGAACTTCTTAGCGTCAGACACATATTTTCTAGAGATGTGCTAACTCGTAATAAACATGACTCGAGTTAAATCGAGTTGAAATTCAGGTAACTCGAGTTGACTTGAGTTACCTGGAATAAACAGTTTTTTTTTTAATTTTTCGAAAGCCGGGGTGGCTAGCTAAAGCTAGTATCTTATAAAATTCTCGTGTCATAATAGTTACCATACTCCTCCGAAATGGCTTGACCGATTTTGATGAAATTTTATATGCTTATTCAGTAGGTCTGTGAACCGGCTATCTATATTTTATACTCCTAACTGATAAAGGTTGTCAACCCCTAACATTTTTTTTATTTTTGGTCAATTTTTTTTACCTTTTGTAATGTGGCATAAAATACATACAACTTCTACTCGTACATAAACCACGTTTTTTTTATTTTTTTGTACTACGATGGTGGCAATCAAGCATACGGCCCATCTGATGGTAAATGGTTACCGTAGCGTATGAAGGCCTGAAACACCAGGGGTTTTTTATTTTTTAACAGCGATTTTAATTTAAATGTCAAAACATCGTTTGCGGGGTCAGCTAGATATTTTCTTAGTATATATGGATGTTTGTTATTCTTTCACGCAAAAACTACTGAACGTATTTTGATGATACTTTTTTTCTTATACATCAGAATAACACATAGGCTATAATTTCACGCGTGTGAAATCGCGGGCGCAGTTAGTATAAATAGTTTTATGTTTGGAGTCCTCTCTGATCGATCTCCCGTCCAATTCAAACGGGGATCGATATTACGATGGCCTGAGCCGAGGTTCGAACCCCTAGGGGTGCCCTCAGACTAAAGTCGTATCCGTCAGGCGGGAGTTGGCCTTCAGCCGCTCCATAAGTCCTTCCGCGGGTTTGGAGTGCCATCTGCACTCGCTCCCTATCGTCCGGTGAAGCTGTAAAGGCCAGCTGCGGCCAACAGCATTAGAGTAGTCCGAAACAAAAATGTATAGACTTTTCAGTTTGATTTTTTTTTTATTTATTTATTCATTTATTTCAGGCAACTAGGCCCATATTATAAATACCTTATAGACTAACATACATATATGTATAATATTTAAAAACTAATACAATAATATTGTCTGTGTGATCACGGCACTTTTTGTTTTATATATATATATATATATCTCCAAATAGAAAGTTTCTTGTTAGTTCTTCTCATCTCGAAATCATTCCGAAATGACGGTAGATTTGACATATCATAAGAGTCTGTAATAGACCTACATGAATTATCATAGGTGTTGTAATTTTGCAGAGATTTCTTCGACGCTTGCGATGGTTTATTCACGAATTATTCATGGGAGGAGTCCGACGTGAGGTCGAGTGTGGTGGCGGCTGGTGATCGCGTTACAGACCTCTACATCGGCATAGACGTGTGGGGCAGGAACTTCTACGGGGGCGGACAGTTCAATGTACAGCAGGTACACACAAATCGAACGGTTTTTCTCCATCCAGTTAATACGGACATTATAGTGTTCACTTATTTGTTATTTAAGTCTTGTATCTCCTAGTAGGGCCCTCACAGGACACTGCAAGTTGAATAAACATGTGGCTTACCTAAGCCTATGCACGACAAAAATCTGCAGATTCTGCCAAACTGAAGAGGAAACGCCACTACACATCCTATGTGGTTGTAGCCCACTCATGCGTAAACGAAATATCTCCCTTGGGAAATTTACACTCTCTCCCGAGGAGATGAAAACCATCGCTCCTAAGAATATCCTTCAATTCTTGTCCCCTATTTTTTTTATTTTTATATTGCCTGAAAAGTGGTTACAGGATTTTAAAAATTTTAATTTTTGAATCACACTTTTCACCAGAATCTGGTATGCAAAATTAACAGTGTCCATTTGCTATCTATATAAGAGAGAGATACATTTTTTGTTCTTCAGTATTAAATTTCTGGGTTAAATCATCGATTCCTTCATGAATTAAAATAATCATCGACAGAATAAAAAGATTTATTAATCAGACATCTTTTTAACTCTGTTTTGAACAAATTTATCGGTAGTCTTTTTATTTCATCATCAGGACCGTCTTTCACCTGTTAGAGGCCCTGGGTAATAAAGCAAACAAAGTAATAAGGCACTGTTTTGTTCGAATAATAACAATTTTTTATTTCACTTTCTTCAGATCTGACTTCATCTCTAAAGAGAGATGCACCTTGCCAAAACAAAATTTTAAATGACTTTCAGGCAAGAGTAGAGTAGCTATCGGTTATCGTTTGGTAATGGAATAGGGACTACACTAGACTAGGGGGCCCCAATTCATCGCGGGCCCTAGGTACGTGCCCAGTGTGCCTAGTGGGGAAGAAGGCCCTGTTCATCATGCAACTTATATTCTATTCCTGCAATTTTAGGCCATAGAAGTGGCGTATACCTATGGATGCTCATTGGCAATTTTCGCTCCGGCCTGGACCCATGAGGCGATGAGTCAAGACCCGAAAGATTTCAATTCTGTCGCATTATCTGATGAGTTGGAGGTCTACGATCAGTTCCTGTTGAGGGACCGCGCCCTGTGGGGCAGCATTTGGCCGTTCCTAAACACGAGATTGCCTTGCACGTTGCCATTCCAGACTTCCTTCTGTAGAGGTCAAGGAAAAAAAAGAAGATTGTACGGAGAGGTATGTAACGCAAGTTAACTGTATATGTAATTGACATTTCTTGAATAGTAATAACCCTGGACAATTCATACAGCATGATCTAGATCAGAGAACTCTTGTGTTTCGTAGACCCCTTGCCACATTTTTCGGTTTTGGGTACACCCCCAATCCTTACCAGGTATTGATTTTTTGGTAATTTCTAACTGTAGTAAAGTTTAGTGTTAAAAACAAAGTAAAAACAACAGGATGGCCGCTGTCGTAGACCTCTTGCAGTTTGTCATAGACCCCTGGGGGTCGATATAGACCACTTTGGGAATCAATGATCTAAGCTAAGCAGAGCTAAAAATATTATTAAAGTAAACAACACGTAGACATTAATAAAATTGTAATACAAGAAGTAGAGTGACGATTGACGTCAAAATATTATAAACTTACCATTGAGGTTACATGTTACAGCACTACCATTTGAACAAACACACATAGAAGTATAGTCTATGACCATAGATCCTTAAATGTTGAAACTTATAATTTAAATTAATTATGATCCAATTTCGACCATTGGGCGATGACTTTTTTTTTTAAATGATAATGTAATGGTTCACCCTCCTGCGCTAACGGTTTACGCTGGCGGGGCACCAGTGCAGAATGATAAGATAAACATGAAGTCAGATCAGTTAGCCCAACGTGACAAATTCACCGCGAATGTATCACGATGGTTCCCAGGTGGAACCGCGTGGAGGTCGATCTGACATGGTACATTGCTAGCAATGGCACCATTAGTCCACATTACTAACATTCCACGTCCCCCCGGACGATGACATTAGTAGGCAAGATTACAAATTGCACTATCACATCTCGCTTTAAACATTTTTGCATTGTATTTCAATGATACTTTATTCGTCACAGGTGATATGCCCTGTACCATGGTATAATTTACGACACATGCAGTACCAGCCCAACTCAAATCACGGCCCTCACGGCTACCTCCTCCTGTCCTCACCTGACGACGTCCACACCATCTCACAGAAATTTACAGTTAGAGATGCAACAGGCATAATAAAGTACCAAGAATCATTCCTGAACAGTCGTCAACAGTTGCATTCTTTCAAAATTAGTAGCGAAACAAATAATTTTGACGAATTTATTGCTATTGAGCAATCTTATGAGGAAACTGTTCCAGAAAGGTTTAAACGTGACTTGAAACATCTCGAATCAGACACAAAAGCTGAAGATAATGCGCTAGAGGATACCGCTAGAAAAAGAGACGAAGCAGTTGACAATCTGTCAGCAGATCTCGCGGTGAGAGGCGAAATAGATGACAATTTGGTATCAGATCCCGTAACGAGAATCGAAGCAGATAACAATCTGATATCAAAACACATAGCGCGACGAGAAAAAGATGGCAATCTGGCTTTAGATCCCGGAATGACACCCGAAAGAAATGATAGTTTGGCATCAGATACCCTGGTGATACGCGAAGGAGATTATAAACGGCGTGAACTAGATGATAAAATCTTATCAGGTACGAGTCTGTCGAGATACACGGGACTGTCGAAGCCATATACGTTAGCATATGTTCCTGATGAGCTGGAGTGTCTCGAAGTGTGCTTAGAAGATAGTTTTATTGGAGGGTCATGCCTGAAAGTGAATCCTTCAGACAAATTGTCGCCCGAGCACAGAACGACGAGGATCTCCCATTGCGATTTCTATTGTCAGGACACGTTAATCATTTGCGTGGTTACGAAGACCTTGATCGAAAATGAAGATCAGTTCTTGAATATAAAGCTGCATGCGAAGAACTCGACGGGTGAGGACCTGAAGGTGGTGTTAGTAGGTAGGGACTCGCCAGGCCAGAGCTCTACCAGCCAGACCACCTCGGGTATCTGCAACGTGTACCCGCTGAACGTAACCAGCAGCCAGTTCCAGGACCTGCAGAAGTACCTACTGCTGAAGGAGTCCGGATTCTATATTTCGGTGGAGAATTCTTATGGATGGAAAATAAGGTCTGTATTTTTTTCTATTTATTGACATTGTAATCGACCTGATCGAAGTTGACCCTCGTCGTTTCTATACATGGACGTCCATGGATGCTATGTGTTGCCATTTCTGAAGACTACATTCCTGTCTCTGTAACCTATAATTTGACTATTAATACTGCTTTACCGTTATGGGTAGCAGATTCGAGACCTGTATTAAATTAACAGCAAGATACAAAAACTCACTATATTGAGATATAATTGTATTCTATTATAATATTAATAGCGAAAGTTTGTAAGTATGGATGTTTTTGATTAAACTTTACATTAACATAGCTTATGCATCAGAAGAACATCTAGGAAACCGCGGGCAGAGCTACATATATGTATAATTTTGCGGTTCCTTAAATGAATGTGTTTTTATTAATGACTAGCTATTCCTGCGACTTTGCCCGCGTGGAATTTAACTTTATTTTTCTAAAATTTTTTTTATATTTTTATAAAATAAAAGTAGCCTTAGTTACTACTTATTACATCAGCTACCTGTCAAAAAAAGTCCCGTCATAATCGGTCCAGCCATTTCAGAGATTAACCGAAATATATAGATCGACAGACAGACAGACAAAAATTGTAAAAAAAAATTATATTCATATGCATGTAACGGTTATTTCAATATTACAAACAGACACTCCAATTTTATTTATATGTATTCATATACGCTGGCGGGGCACCAGTGGATATTAAAATGTGGATGAAATCAGGTCAGTCATTGTGGTGAATTCATCAGGAATTGTCCAAGTTTCAATGGAAATTTGGGTGGAACTCGAGCCGGTATGCCATTCCTCGACTTTCCACTAATGTATGCTCCTACCTGACAGGTACTACGAGGTCCCTGCTGCAGGGATGCTGGTAACGTCTGTGAACTGCCGCACCGGCATGTCCGAGGGGGGCATCCTGCTCGGGTACCTTGGCCTCTGCCACCGGTCATAGGTGAGCGTTCCGGTCAGGTCGTCATACACCATGGTGGTTTCCAGGCGAGACGTGGAGAAACTGTTAGGGTACTTGGTTGATTGTTGGTAATAGGCTCTATTACTAACAATTTTTCGCCTCCGGCAAACGCTACAGTCGCAGAATCATTTGAAAATATCATGTTATAATCTTATTTTAGTCTTAATAATATTACTAGCTCTTTCCCGCGGCTTCGCTCGCGTTAATTTATCCCCTTAGGGCTAGAATTTATCAAAATCCTTTCTTAAGGGATGCCTACGTCATAGTAGCTTTATGCATGCAAAGTCTCACCCCGATCGGTTTAAGATTGACAAACTTTCATCCTATATTTTATCCCCTTGGGAGTAGAATTAATTAAAATCCTTTCTTAGCGGATGCCTACGTCATAATATCTACCTGCATTCCAAATTTCAGCCCGATCCGTCCAGTGGTTTGGGCTGTCCGTTGATAGATCACTATGTCAGTCAGTCAGTTCCCTTTGAGTTATATATATTTATAGTAGATAGATAAACACGAAAGTTTGTGAGTATGGATGTTTGTTACTCTTCCACGCAAAAACTACTGAACGGATTTTGATGTAACTTTACAGTAATATAGCTTATACATCAGAATAACACATAGGCTATAATTTAAAGAGATATTATGTAAATATAGCGAAATATAATGATAAATGTCAAGTAAGTGTGAAGCAGACGAAGCTGCGCGAGTCAGCTAGTATTGGTATTAAAACATATGCATTTATAAATAAAATATTACTGTATTATTAATGTAAATTATTTTTATAAATTACTATAAAGTGTATACATATGTTGATACATTAAAAAATATCTTTATTCATGTAGGTCTATTACAGACTCTTATGATATATCAAATATACCGTCAGTTCGGAATGATTTCGAGATGAGAAGAACTGACAAGAATCGCAGCTCGTATTCTTTTCAAATATATATCTGCCTGAAAAAAGATTTAAATGTCATATAAAACACTTCCTTTGCAAAAAAGCTTACTATAAAATTGAAGAATTCGTTAACGATAATAATGTTTTTATAGAAAAACCTAAAATCCATAGCACTGACAATATTATCTGATTACACTAATAATGAGTGCGTAGCGATTTCTATGTTGATTATCGCATGCCTCTTACTTGTTATACTGTAATTACTTATATAAAAAAAACATCTATTAAAAAGAGCAACTCACAAGTTTCTTGCTCATTCTTCTTGTGATGAATCTGCATTCCGAATGAGTGGTAGAATCAAAATATGACTACTCAAAAGTGCTTGTAATGAGTTTATTTGAATAAAGATTATTTCTATTTCTAATAAATGTTACAATATGCAATTACAATATATATATATATATATATATATATATATATATATATAAATATCCCCTTGGGCACTTTGTGGCTCAGACGTGCCGTATAGGTAGTTTTTTGTTGATCCATTTTCACTTGTTGATCCGGAGGCCTTTTGTTGATCTAATGCCAGCTGACCATATATAAATGTTGATCCGTTTTGAGCCACAACTGTCACGACGGGTAATAATAATAATTAAGCGATTTATACACGATTTTATACAAATCCACCTTTTTGGCATACGACCACTTCTTGATCCAATTCAAACGGGCCAATCAGGGTGCAGCATTTGCCAAGGGCTTCCTCATTGGCACGTTTGGGCTACTACATTATGGCTACAGTAACTTAATATTGTCTAGCTAGTATTTCAAGAATAATAGTCTATCTAATCTAAATATTTATAGAAATCAGTCTGGAGTAACGTGACTCCAGATCAAAACTCAATACTTGTTATTTTTTGGACGGGAATTTTTCCTTTTGTAACAACGTACTGAGCGAATGAAGAGAAGACGCAACAGCGGATCCAGGGGGGAGCGTCATGGAGATCTTGGGAGTCATGGGGGGTCATGACTCTCCCCCCGCTTAGCCCAGGACTTAGGTAGACCACTAATTAAACTAAAAAATAATGAAACAGCAAAATTTTTTGCACGATCGGAGTGTTGGTGCAGTAGTATTAATTATAATTAAACATTGTTACTTAAAATATAACACTTAAAGTACTATAACACTAAAAGCAAAATAAGTATTTTCAAAATACTTTTACAGAATAAATTACCTTTTGAGTTTTTGTCCAAACCTCAGATATTTTATTTATTTTAGGTATATCAATCATTACATAGTATAGTATAAAACAAAGTCGCTGTCGCATCTAACAAGTACATAAATAAATAAAGAAGACTTTTTGGCTCTGAATATATTTCAAAAGTCAATTACTTGTGTTAATCAATTTATATACTCGTTCTTATTTCATAGTACTTGTTTTGATCCGAATGTATACAGATACCGTAACGGTCTATTAATTATGAATTTATTATACCTAACCTAGATATTTTATTTTGACGAGACTCCGTGTAGTTGTAGTATCCGATAAGGGTATGCGAACCCTAAGTATTATTTCAAAATGACCAGTAATTTCGAAGAAATAAGCCTTTGAATTTCAAATCAACTTACCAAACGGACGCTCAAGGTTCGATTCCCGCCACCGATTTTTTTTTTGTTATTTTTTTTTTGTTTTGTCTTTATTTTATATTTTAAATTAACTATTTTAATAATGAAATGAATTTAATCGAACAAAACGTTGTTAAGTATTAAATTAACTTTAATTTACATTACCTATTATACTTTCTAAATTGTAAAGCAGCTAACAATTATAGTAAGATCTTATAAATAATTAACACAACAAGTAAAACATTTTAAATGTATTTTCTTTATTATCACAAAATATTTTTTATGCATAATATAATAGTTAATATCACTTAAAATTAATTTAATACTTAACGACGTTTTTATCGATTAAATTCATTTAATTATTAAATAGTTAATTTTAAATATTACTTTAAAAAAAAAAATAAAAAAAAGCCAATGGTAGGAATCGAACCCGGGATGGCTGTGTGGTAAGTTGGTACACAGGTACATTCCTAACTAGTAAAATTAATTTAATGCTTAACTACATACGTTTTTATTATAAATTAATAGTCGTATAAATTAAATTGATTATTAAAATATTAAATTAAAAAAAAAAACAAAAAAATAAATAATAAAAGTAAACGGACGGAAAGAAATTCGAACTCGGAGTGTCTGTGTGGTAATGTGGTATTGGTACACAGGTACACTACTAACTAGGCCATATTGGTGTTGCTTGTTATGGTGAAAAAACTAGTATATATATAAGTTACACGTACAATTTCAAAGACTTATTTCTTCAAAACTACTGGCCATTCTGAAATAAAACTTTAGGGTTTGCATATGTAATGTTTGCATATAAAATAGGATTAAAGGTTACCAGTGTATTTACACTTTTACTGAACAAACAGAGTTGTTTAATACTGAAAATATTGTGTAGAAGGCATCAATTACTTTCAGTGCATTTATAGCTTTGCTCTTTTCCTAATTATTATTATTAAGTTATAAAGTGGTTGAATTTTGCGTAGGGTGTTTTTATACGTTATTTCTAATTTACCATTTATTTTAAGTTTTTTAAACTCTATTCATCGAGACCTATCTAATGAGTCCAAACACGATATTTCTGCTGTAAGTTTTCGAAGAGTATGTTCATCATCTGATAATACTGGTGCCAGCATGAAGTCAAGGTTAACAGATAACTAATTACTTTTATTTCGTCAAAATTTTTAGATTACGTATAATAAATTCATAATATCGCTACCTATTCAAATCAAAACAAGTATTAGGTACTTCATGTACTAGTATATAAATTCATCAACACACAAGTAAATGATTTTTAAATATATTCAGAGCTAAAAAATCTTTGTGCATTTAAAAAAAATTGCCGATACGGATTCACTATTGCAGGAAATTGTTGAAAAAATATATATCGAGTATAGGTATCTACTACTATCGACGAATACATTTGGCAACAACGCATGGTCTCGGTCGGAACGGCAACATCGCATATTAGAATACAAAGATAGTGGTAGAACGCGGAACGGCAACATGTTGCCGTTCCGCCACGCTACCGTTATAGTGGTAGAAAGAGAGAGATAATGGAATCAGCAATATCTACGGATCGTGGCTGGATCAACTAAGTGAGCAAGTGTATATATATATATATATATATATATACATTTGTCTTTAATTCAAAGGAAATGTAAATAATGAACGCATCACATTTAAAACAGTAATAAGTACGTACGTAATATTATCACATGGTAACAGCACGTATTATGGCAAAAATAAACATCGGCTGATTTGAAAAGATTTATTATAGTAATAATAGTAATCTCAGGACAATTCACACAGCTTCATCTAGACCCAAGTTAAGCTAGCTGAAGATTATGTTATGGGTACTAGACAACTGATATAAATACAAAGATTTTTTTTCGTAAATACATATATATTATCTATACATAGAAAACACCCAGACCGTTACAAACAATCATACTCATGAATACAAATGTTTGCAGCGTGCGAGGAATCGAACCCTCGACCACCAAGCAGGAATCAAAGCGGTGTGCTAGATAAATCGCTAGACTACCGACAACTTAACTTACCGACAATTTAACTTCTTATATTTTAGAAAAATAAAGTGAAATTCCACACGGACGAAATCCCGTGTACAGCTAATCATCAATAAAAAAACACGTAGGTATCTCTAATATATTATACACTAGCTGTTCCCGCGACTTCGTCCACATGGTTTTTAACTTTATTTTTCTAAAATAAAAGTAGCCTAAGTTACTCCTTGTTACATCAGCTACCTGCCAAAAAAAGTCCCGTCAAAATCGGTCCAGCCATTTCAGAGATTAGCCGGAACAAACAGACAGACAGACAAAAATTGTAAAATATGTTATTTTGGTGTATGTACCGTATTTATATTCATATGCAAGTAGTAAACAACGGTTATTTCAATATTACAAACAACAGGCTTCAACATTCTCAAGTACCACA